TCCACTGGAAAAAAAACACATTGGATCTAGAGTCCGGACTCTTAAACTCTTTCCCTTTGATTTAAGCTTAAATCTGATTGAATCAAGAGTATTTTTTCTTGTCAATGTTTTCTAGAGTCTGGACTCTAGATCCAACGTGTTTTTTTTCCAGTGCCCGATAGACGCACGGCACGTCCATGCTTAGTTGATTCGTCATAAAACAAACACGATCGAACTGTTACAAAACCGCTTTGAGGACGTTTCCTTTCGGGTTTCAATAACAGTGGAAGCATCACCGGTGAGGAGTCATCTGCCGTGATAGCGAAGAGAGCAGTACGTGATTTTCCGTATGAGCCACGATTAGCACACGGTTTTACGCGTCTCGAGGTTCATTCCAGCTTCCACTTACTGCTCTCTTCGCTATGACGGCAGCATGCACCCCAGATCTGCCGTGTTAGGGAAGAGAGCAGTAAGTGCATTTCTGTATGAGCCATGATTAGCACACGCTTTTATGCGTCTTGAGGTTCATCCCAGCTTGCACTTACTGCTCTCTTCGCTACGACGGCAGCGTGCACCCCGGCCGCCCGGCACAAATTCGGATACACCCGCGGATTCCGTCTCAAAGGCTGACGTGACTCGCGGGCGGATTAGGTCCCGTCTCAAACTGTAAATATTTTCCCGCCTTCGAACACTTAGGATGTAATTTTGCACCTTTGGAAGTTGTAAACTTGCCTCTTTGTAGCGCCGAGCCCGGCAGGCAGACAATGTAACGGAGCGCTTTGAGAGGAGCGCGCGGCGCGTCGCGTCGCGTCGCGACGCCCGCGTTCCGCTGCAGCTCGAGGCGGTGCATCTTGCGCCATTACAACGTTGAACAAAGTGAGTCGGTGACAAAATTGACAAGATCTTTTATCCGAGGGAGAGTCTCCGTCGATTTGCTCCGCGCTCATTCCAGCTTTTATCGCGGCTCCCTTGATTTTTCTCCCCGTCTTATCTCCCGCCCATTTCCGCGAAAACTCCTAACTTTCAATTTCTCGCTCCCGCCCCCTCCCTCCCCCTCCCAGAGTTGCCTGATTGTGCCGGAAAATCAGCACTTTCCCCCATTTGAACCCATGTAAAACATACACAATACACTGAAAAAAAAAAATATCGGTGTATTTACTAAGAAAAGGGTAAAATTACCAAGAATTCAGGGTTCCATTTGATCCCAGTTTTTTCTTGGTAAAATTAGCATTTATGTTTCTCAGTAATTTTAGTGGACCTTGGTAAAAACGCCAATATTTTGTATTGATTGTGGTAGAATTACCGAGATAAATGGTAATGTTACCGGGAATTGATTATCAATAAAAGTGGTATTCTTACCTGAAAAAAAAACAGTAAAAATACCGGTTTTTAGGTAAGTTTACCAGTCTCTCTTGATAAAATTACCAATAATTGGTAAAGAAAAGTGAGATGGTAAAGGTACGAACGGACCTAGGTAAAAACGCCGAGAAGTTTTTTTCAGCGTATATTGCACAATTTGGCAACCTCGTCCCCCACCCCCTCCTCGCTCTTCCCTTCCGCATCTAATAGTTCAGCCATCGCGTTTTATCTGCTCCGCAATTTTTTCCCCCTCTCCTGTCGGTGTTTTTAATTGTTTAATTAAGTTTCCTCGGCTCCGGGAGATTGGCAACGCTGATGAAATTCTTTTTGATTTCCTTTGTTTGTTTTCACTGTTGCTCATCTTATCTTCTTCCGCAATTTTTAATCCGCGTTTCCTCCTTAATTGAAAATTCCTCCGAGACGCGAGGGATGCCGATGGGGTAGGCGAGCCCAAGTGATGATGAATACGTCTCGGAGAATTAAGAGCGGAAACCTGCGTATCGTCATTTCGTGATGGACTTCCGGGAAGCACAATAGATTTGCACTTCCCGGAATTCGATTTCATAATTAACTGCTCTCTTTTTATATTATTTATCGCGTATCCCGCAGCAAATATATCATTTTATTTTTTAACATCTTTTACTCTCAGGCTGGTTATTATACGGCTCTAAAATGTGTCAAATTTCTCCTAGTTTCTTCATTAGTGTCATCACTTCTTTTATTTTTGACATTTTCCCCAGAATTTAAGTGTATGTATAGTATTTGCATAAACTATTCAATAATCAATCTATGAATCAGTAATTTCTAGATTTGAAGACACCCTTTAAAGTATCTCTGAAAATTACGTCTCTGTGTAGTCCAGCATCATTAAATTACAATTTTATTCGGAAAGATTTTGAAATACCGCCAGAAAGTCGACATGAGGGAATATTGTAAAAACGAAAAGATTTGATAGCTCTTTGGAAATGTTACCTTTTCTGTTTTCTGATCTCCTGGAGTTCCTTAGGACGCATCTTTCCAAGTATTCCAAGACATTGTCGCGTAAAATTGTGTACATCGATACCTAACCCTCCACGGCGTGATAGAAATTTCAGAGATTTTTTTAAAAAAATAATCCACAAAGTTCAGAAATTTTATCTGATTCATTAGTTATCAAATCTCGCTAGCTCGGTGGAATCACCGCGCTAAAAAGGATAAAAAACCCCCAAGACATATTAAAGAAAACCCCTTTCGATGGGAGCCGGTAATACCAGCCAACATTGAACGGAAAATTGAGGGAGCAAGCCGAGTATGGCAGGAAATCTGCATACACTCATGGAAGAATCGAAGGGTTCGTCAGATTGGAAAGCAAAGAGCGAGGCAATGAAGTTGATCTCGTCCTGTCGTAAGGAAGTATGAGCAGCCGTCGAAAGGTTAAGACATCCGATGGGACAGGGCCTGGAGCCGCCATCCATAGGACAGGTGAAAATGGCGATATGGATGCCAACTCATTTACGTCACGGATTGAGGAGGTGATGAGCGGGCTCCAGCATCCATCCTGGCCGTAAACCGGCCGACAAGAGGACCAGGAGCCTTTGCTCTTGGACAAAACAATATCAATATCGCTATAGCGTAGGTTTCTGAAGAGATGTGGATGTATCTTCACAACCCTTGTGCGACCATCGCATCATGGTCAGCTTCCTTACATCACATTCGGCGAGGGGTGAGTTCAATGTGGCACGGATATCTTCCGACTTCAATTTTCGGTACCGTCTTTACCTCCCCTCGACGCCTCCTCATTTCCAGGTTGATAAATAGGATTTCCCGTTTTCCTCAGCCGCGGCTCAACGCATCATTTCATTTTGCGTACGGTCAAATTGACGAGGAAATTCTGAAGGACGGCGCAGCGCTGTTTACCGTCTGAGATCACCGTTGTTAGGGTGTCAAAGTGCTCCACCAAATTTGCATCCCTTGACTTAACGTGATAAGGGAACCCTAAGTATCGCCGGTTTGGGAATTCCATCTCCATTTACGAATCGAGATCGACTTAACGGATTCGTTGCTGCCAAAGCGGGAGAAAAAATCGCTGTTTTGTTGAAAGGCCCAATTCGAAATGGAAGTCTGCAAGAAAAAAAAAATTGAAAACTAGAATAACAGCAGTATGGAACTATTTAAAAATCCATTAGACCTGGAGGTTAAATTTATGTTATGCTAATGTAGTCGGTGCTAATGACACATGGAGAAAAAAACCTCGTGCATGGGACCCGTAGTTGAGGTCATATGGATCTCTGAAGTTTTCTGATCACGCATCCGAAAACTTGAGGTCGAGCTGCCGAAGTTCGGGTCAGACATCGAGGCACTTCGGTATGTACCGGAGTACTTCAGATGTGTGACCCGAACCCTTCGGTATATATCGAAGTACTTCAGATGTCTGACCCGAACTTCGGTAGCTGGACATCGAGTTTTTAGATACGTGATCCGAAAACTTCAGAGATCCTTATGACCTCAACTTCGGGTCCGACGCACGAAGTTTTTTTTCTTCGTGCAGAGCCTTCTGCTCACAGGGGTTCTGTACTTTCTTTGTTATATTTACGGAACTTTTCTGCCGTGAAAACAGAGCTACGGTCTGCAACACTGATTTGAGTACTCTGTCCTTAAAACGGAAACGTCGTTAGCTGCAACCAAGAAAGTGCAGGAGCCCTATGAATAGGACTATATTTTTCAGTGCATGGCTGCTTTGATGAAACTCTCTTCGGATCGACATATCAAAGTCTAGATTAAAATTTGAGAAGTTGGGCATCAGCGCGGCGATTCAGACGAAGGTATTCTACGTTTGATTGGCCTGCTTTTTGATTCCCTGGAGATTTTTGAAAGCTCCGACCCGCTACTGCACCGCGCGTCCAGCGGGCTGCGCTCAGACACGGGGCTTTGCATCAGTGCAGTTGTTTCGACGTCCCGGTATCTTTACGTTTTCCCATCAGATCGTTCAATCACGATTTACATCCTGTGAATATCCAATGCGAGGGTTTCTTTTTTTTCCTCTCTTGCCACCTTCCGAGCGAGATAAACGGATCGCGGCTGGGTGTCGTGGTTTTGCGCCTGAATTTTAACGAGGTTGCAAATTTTCGACCCAAAGACTAAGTCAATGTAACCCCAAGAAAACATCAATCAGTTGTACAATCAGAGTTTGTAGAATCTTACATTTATGGCTTTTGAATCTGCAATCCTTGTTAAGGGTGGACCGATTCATCTTATTTCAAGTTCTATCAGCTTTAGGCTTCCCTATGAAGCGGTGGGTTCTTCGCCTGTCACAAACCTGGATTAAGGGGTTTGGAGGACAAGGCGTATAAGTGCTGTTTTTGAAAAAAAATGAGATATTCGTGAATTCAACTAAAATTAGTTTGAAAGTATATTCTGTAAAAAAATTCACAACTAAAATCCAACTTTAAAGCATCTTAAAGTGAGTTTATTCTGCCTTTCCGCCATAAGGTTCCATGTAATTTTGAAACTTCGAACACATTTGTATTGAAATAGCAAAAACTGCATTATGCGCCTTGCCTTCTAAGCCCCTCGTTTGTATCCTTTTACAGAAAACATAAATTCTGATCCTCATAAAATGAACCAGAAAACAATTTCTGAGATGAATACCGTATTCTAATTTTGTTCTTTACGTTTGTTCCCAGGTGTAAATTCATATGAATCAAATATCGTGACGCAAGCGCCATCATTTACGACGACAGGACAAACGTTCAGAGTTGTCATTGGCGACGTTCTTGTCCTTCCATGTGAAGTTGAAAATTTAGGTAAGTCCGAACTTTTTTAATTCGCTCCTTTTGTTTCTTCATTCGCCTTACAGCGTCACGTGTTTCATAATATACATGCTCAAAGACAGCATATTCTTTGTGAACTATCCAATAAGGAGTGAGGGTCTCTGGCTCTAAAGATCTTGGAAAGTCATGTAAAACCAGGGAACGCTCGGTGACCTAAAAATTCAGTGAAATCGTAGGAAAAGTCATGGAATTTTCCAAGCATAGCGCGTCTGTTCAGCAACTTCTGCCGTTGCCATTTGAGGGAGCGCAAACAACTTTCGATTACCTTTTTCCATGATTGGAATCACTGAAAGTGGAAATTTCGTTCGACGTCTAGCAAAACTCAGCGTAATTAAAAGAAAGCAATCAAAGTGGATGTTGTAATCAAACGTCAAGGAATGTTTGTAATAGTTGGGTGTCGTGGAAATTTTGGAGTCCCTAAGAAACAAAAAAAGAGAATCGGAAAATGAAGTAGTTAAGGAAACTCGGGAAACATACTCGGGATCGTAGTTAAAGCTGTTTCATTAAGACTTGATCAATGACGGGCATTCCGAACTCACGCAATAACCTCACATTCGAAGGCCCAAATACACTTGCGAGTTACAAGCGCTTGTTGAAAGTGATACGCCAATAAACAAGGAGGATTTTAATAGCTCGACGTCGATCGATCGAAGTCCTGGTTAACTAGTTAGTACGAATATAGGTCTTTCTGAGGGTAGTAACTGATTAGAAAGAAACTATCGCGGATACGACTTTGATACGGTCCCTAATTTGACTTTCACTGACTCCTTTCGCTTCTCTTGGAAAGGTTATTGGAGGCTATCCTCTCTCAGCCCCTCATACAGGTAACTCATCGTCATTCCGACGCAAGGAAGTAACTACATGTCAACGTTGCAAAATTCCCACTCACGAATTTTACTCTTATTAAGAAACTGTCGAGCTCTCATAACGGGTTCTCGATTACGACCGAAAATTGACGAATTTTTGGATGGACATTGAATAATCTTATTCTTGTAAAAACTTGAATTGTTTAAATCAATTTTCAACGCCTGGGAAACGCAGAAATCGCAAAACGACGCTTTCCTCTTCGCTTCTCTTCTTTTTAATTAATATTTAAGGTTTCTTCGTGAAAAATGGCGTCAGCGCGAAAGCGCTCGGACGTTGTTTCCGTTGCCGCGTATAAAATTTGATATCGCTCATAAAATGAAACGCACAATTGACAAGAGCGCCGTAAAAACCTAAAGAAAATCGCATACATAATTTCGCTTTATGACTGTTTGTTTATCTCTGACAAATCGATATCAGCGGGGGGCTTGGAGGCCCCCAAAGCTCGGTGGTTCGGATCCCAAGATTCCCGGCGCCCCCCCTCCCAGCCCCCCTCGTTCCAGCTATCATCATCCGCTTGGTGGGATCGCAGCGTTACGACTGTTTCATTGTTTGATAAACTCATAAATCCGAGCAACGACTCTTTTCAATTAGATACCTGCTTCGTATGTATTCGCTCGGTTATGGATATTCCGCGCTGAGGATTACTTTTCACCCGTAGATGATCTTCCTTCCTTGCATCGAATCGATGAAAATGATTATGTTATGTTCGACGGGAGCTCCAGGTCGCGAAACAAGGACATAATTTTTATTTTCACCCGCTCCGCGCTGCTCCTCACCGGATCAAACGTGTTCTCATCAAGTAGAGTATTTTTTTTACGTGAGAACGATCTTATGTGTCGTTGGCTGACCCCATTTTATTAAGTTCTTATTGTGTCCTTCCTACACAGTTTGTAAAGTCCAAGTTTTCTCATTGTTTAGTATTTTTCCTTGTGTGGACCGCGTTTAGCAGAAAGGAACCAAGCTTCAACAGCTCTCGCCAAAAACCGGGCAATTTAATTTTTTACAAGAAAATGTTTGTCCGGATTCCTTTGAAAATGTTGAGGGATTTGCTCCATACTACGCAGAAAATCCACTGAAATTCGCTCACAAATCCGCACAACCATTTTTATGTAAAATATTAAATTGCCCAATTAAATTTGACAACAAGCGATGTGGCTTGGTTCCATTCATTCTCAAACCGGTCCATTCTGAACAGTTTCAGTTCTCACCTTCCGGCCAAATTATCACACGCGGCATGCGACGTTTGTATATTTCAGCCGCCATTTTATTTTTTTGTAGAGAAATTGTTCAACGGAGCTGTCTGAAAATTTCACTGAATTTTCTATGCGCTGCCGATAAAATTCAATGAAATTTTCTAACAGATTCAACCAACAATTTCTTCGTAAAAATGTAAAATGGCGGCGGAAATGTTTGAACGTCGCATGACGCTTGTGATACTTTGGCCGGAGGGTGACAATATTCGGGCACATTTTTGGCACATTATGGCAACAATATCCTGTCTAAAGTTCGTTTTTACTCTTTCAACAACTACAAGTTCTCACCGACAAATTCACCGTGAAGTATCCTGCTTTGTTATCTTTAATCCCCGCTCCTTTTTTCTTTCATTGCGGTCGGCGCCTCCCCCAACAAATTATCGTGGGCGCTCTAAAAGGCTCTCAAGGCATGCACTCGGAAAAAGCGAAATACCATCCTCCGTTACCGAGACATCGCCGATCGTAAAAGGACGCGGCAACAATATATTTTAGAATATTAGTGCGCCGCTATTTGCAGGAGCTGAAAACCTTTTTAAAGGGCAAATACAAGCGAATTAATTCCTCAATCATCGACTCGGAATTTTTCCCTTTCCCCGGCGAAAGGAAAAAAGGGCCCATCTTCGCGGGGGCTTAGTCGCGTCGTGTTCCGGTTTGTGTGTTTCAATGAGCGAGCAATTGTTTGCTTCCAATTTTTTCTTCTCCTCCCCCTGCCCGCGCTCGCTGGAAGATTTAATCAAAATTCGCCTGGAAACGATTGTTTACCTCCCTCTCGTGTCCCCCCGCTCCGCCCCCCCTCTCGATCACCCTTAACCGCTCGCATATTGGTATCTTTTCACCGGGACGCTTGAGCAACGCTATTTCATCCGCGCATCCGCGTTTGATTAAAGCGCCAATTCCTCTCCTCGGGTAAATACATCCCATTGTCAGTTTCATTCCCGTATGCACCGCCGACGTTAAGCTTACAACCCTCTCTTCTCACCCCCCTTCTCCCCTCTCCCGACTGTCTCTCTTTTTGACTAAGAACCCACCGTGCTTCGTGATCTGTCTCCAAGTGACTACGTTTAATCAGAGTTAATTTCATTTTAATCAATCGCACTATTTATGTCTATTCAAAAGTTGAGTTATTAGCCGATTTTACAAAATATATACAATGATTACGACTCGGGTCATTCTTTAATAAAATAAAACAATGTGCAAGAGGATGTGAATATATTTACAATTTTACCTTGACATGGTGGACAAGGAAACGTTCCAACACAATCATTGCATATATTTGTAAAATCGGCTAATAGCTCAACATCTGTTTTCACAGTACGGAGTATAGCCGAAAACCATTTTTCGGTTTTATGTCTATTCAGCACAGAATAATCAAAGACCATCGAATCTTTCCATGCAGGACGAGATTCGAATTCGAACTTCCAAAAGTTGGGTATCGATAAGGGCCGTTTTTGGACCCACCTTAGCTGAATTTCCGCAACTCTGAGATTTTTCGCTTATTGAAGGTGTAAATTTTACATAATTTGGTCATTTCCAGTTTTCATACTGACTTAAGCCTTGGTCTGGGGCCGATTTTGGCCCAAGAAAATCCGGGGTTTTCAGTATTTGACTGCAAATTCGAAAAACCCGCCTTTCTCGCCAAAATCGGCCTCTAGATCCAGGTTTAGGCCAGTATGAGACTGGAAATGACCAAATCATGAAGGACTTCGCTAAGTCTGGACCCTCAATGAGCAAAAAATCGTAGATTTGAGGATAATCACCTAAGGTGGGCCCAAAAATGGCCCTTATTGATGTCCCTCCTTTGGAGAATGTCACTTTATCCACCTTAACAATCGACGGTTTGCTGAAGCTTATTCGAGTCTCAAGTGTTTCCAAAAGGACCAAGAATTTCTTTCTCTTTCCTCGAGTAGTTATTTGTGCATACGCACTGCAATGCTTGACCTCCGCAAGGCACCAGCTGACCGGCAACTTTTGACCTCCCTTACCATAGGTGCCCTACGAAATAGTTCCTTCTATTTCTGGCCTCTAAATGTTAGACATAAACTGGCCTAGAGAAGGAGACCTCAACAAGAAGAAACCTTTTGAAGAATCGACAGTTCGGGCTTCATTCTTGGACTCGAAGTTCTACTCACTGAGTGTACGTGACACTTAAAAATTCCTTCTCCCGTGAAAGTTTTAATTCAGGTACATCAAATGCTGCGGGATATAGGTTTGCATTTTTCTTCCCCTCAAAGGCTCAAAGTTCTGATCAGAATCGTGAAAGAAAAAGCTCTGAGAAGTAGGGGAACGGGCATAATGATTCAACCTCGCATCTCTCTGAATCAATCTAAAGGTTGAATTTTTAGATCGGATTTTCATTAACTCGGTGCGTTGTTGTCAAATTATGTTCAAGCAATTTATTTACCTGCCATTTTTTGAACACGAGTAATTTCTTCACCATCTGACGACAAGAAGTTTAAATCTCGGTCTATGAGGCTGGTTTACACAACCAATCAATTTAACTTCCCTCCAATTCTAATTGATGAGTTTCAATGCACGTTGTCAAGTCCGGAGAAAATGCTCCTTCCCTTTAAACCCGGAAGCTTTCTCTTCTAATAAGAGACACCCCCTACTTACGGTCGAAGTTCCCCGGATTTGACTTGCTAAGTTGAGGAAGCTCCTCTCACAATACGTCGCCTACCTGACATAAGGGCGTAAGTACACTCTGCCATGAACCCTGTCTTCTATGTAATTCAATGCTTTTCCGGGCTCATCTCAATGTGTAGTTACGCCCTTATGTCAGCCAAGCGACGAATAGTTCCTTTACTTCATTGAATAAAAAATAAAGAGCTCTCTTAATTATTGTTCAGTTCTAAA